CTGGGGGAAGGGTGGGCTATGGTGGGATGGTGAGGGACGGTGGGCTGAGGCGAGCGGTGTGGTGGGCTGGGGGTAGCTGTGGTGGGAAGGGATGGGCTAGTGTGGGGTAGTGGGGCGGAAGGGTGGGTGGGGGGGTGGTGGGGAGGTGGGGGTGAGGTGGGTTATAGGGTTGGATTGGAGCGGAGGGGTGGGTACCCATTCAAATAATTGATGTAATTGAAATAATTCAAATAATTAAATGGCTTGATTTAATTATTTCAATTATTTCAATTATTTCGGTTGGCTTAATAATTGAAATAATTGAAATAATTAATTAGATATTGATTTAATTATTTAAAATTATTTTCAATGTTTCAATTATTTCAATTATTTGAATAAGGCTGTATCCTTATTGCTAATAACTTATTTCAATTAATTAAACTGTTTTAATTATTTCAATTATTTGGGATAGCTAAATAATTGAAATAACTGAAATAATTAATTGCTAGGTTTTATTAGAATATATAAAGAGATTTACCACCTATTTAAATAGTTGAAATAATTGAAATAATTGAAATAATTAATTAGGCTTGATTTAATTATTTCAATTATTTCAATTATTGGGCCACTCGAAATAACTGAAATAATTGAAATAATTAATTGGGTTGGGCTTGATATAATTATTTCAATTATTTAAATAAGGCTGGATCCTTGTTTTTAACCATTTAATTAAATTAATAATAATTATTTGAATTATTTTAATTATTTTAAATATTTTTATATAAATTGCAAAAATCCTAGCGTCAAATAGACCCTAAAGGAGCCTCTCTCTCTCCCATATATATATATATATATGTCCCAAGGCCTGAGATGAGAGTCCACCTTGCAAGGTGCACTTCGAGCAGGCCAGCCGCCCTGGTACGGAGACGCACAGCTGGGCCATGGGCCCAGCTGCTCAAGCCGAGCCAAGGCCTTCTGGGACTTCAGATCTTGAGCTCCAAATCCTAACTACTTACAAACTTCCAAAACCTAAAAACTCTAAAATCCCAAGACCTAACTCCTAAATCCTAAACTCGAAATCCCAAGACCTAAATCCTGTCCTAGACATTAAACTGTCCTGAACTCTACATCTCAAGACGGACCTACAGCCTCAACGACTGTGTACTCTGGGCGAGAGCACTTTGATGCCGAGGATGACGGAGAGGTCCACTTCTCGGAGTGCCGGGAGAGAGAGTGTGGAGGAGGAGTTGTTGCAAGAGAGGTATTACCTGAGTTACTAGAGGGATTCCATAAGGATAAGAGGGGTCGGTTTGATGGGGAATCAGGGGTTTAGGACTTCGGATTGTAGTGTTCAGGTTTGGGGATTTGGGGGTTCAGAACGTCGGATGTAGGGCTTCAGAGGTGTGGGTAGCATTCCCTTCGCTGTTGTAACAAGAGTCGCGTTGTCGGAAAACGGACCACGATTACCACTACCAGTATCATGAACATGCTGATGCTGGAAATACTCATCGAATAGTCTTGAGACGCACTGTATCTGTTCGCTGGAATCGGTATCTAAGACCCTTGGGTTGGAGATCCACTTGAGGTTTCGACAGTGTAAGGTATGGGCCCAGAGGTCAGACTGGAATGGTAAGCAAAGCCTGGCCCGGAAGTGCTGGTTATATCTTGCAAAGCTTCGCATTCTTGGGTCTAAGGTTTCGGGTTTTTCCGGTCAATCGAGACCTGCAAAAGGTTTCTGCAAGCTGAGGGCCTTCAAGAAACACTGAAGGTTCGAAGCGCCACGGGCTCGTTGGATAATGGTTTAGGGTTTAGTGTTTGGCCCTGACAGGCCTTGGTGTAGTGAGCAAGGCGAATGCTCAAGAGGCTTGGAGTTTTTACGGGCTTATGACCTAGAAGGCCACGCACCAGGAAGTTTGGGGGCCGCGGCTTCCAATATTTATTATGCCAGATAACTTAAGTTCCTGCCTTGAAGCTACGTTAGCAGTTCAGGCAGACGTATGGCTGCATTTGCGTTAGCAGTTCAGGCAGACGTATGGTTGCATTTGTTACATTTACCTTATGGTAGTTATTTAGCTATTCCTAGTAGTTCTTTCTTTTTGCTTCTCCGAGTTCCTGTGGTCGACCCAACCCGGAACAAGCAAGCTTGGTTTTGATTTGTGGGCCCAAACTGCGACAGCAGCACGACATGGACCTGATCGAAGTTCCTCATCGCGGTGCCCGTAATCCGCACGGGAGTCCTAATGAGCTGATGAGCCTCCCCTTGGTATGCCTCATGCATCTCTCAGGAAGGTAAACCTGGCAACCCACAACCCTGAAGTCCTAACCCCTAAACCCCAAGCCCCAGCTCCGCGCTGAAGAATACGTACCCCGAGCTGCTGATCTCCTCAGGTTCACATTGAGGGATCCCGGCCACTGGCCGCGGTCGCTGCATCGACCGCTTCTGTTGCCGAGGGCTCGGAAGCCAGGGGTCAAAGTGACCCTGTGCTAAACCCATATGGGAGTTTCCCAAAATTAGGGTACCTTATTTTGGGGTCCTTATAATAAGGCCTACTATTTAGTTAGGGACCCCCTTGCCCCTTTTGGGTAATAATGCCACCGTCAACCCATTAGATGATCATTCCTAGGGTCCCCCCTACACTTCACCGATGTATCACTACTACTACACCATTATCAACACAAGTATAGGAATAACCATTACCCCATCCATTATCTCTAAGGTGGCATTATTACTCAAAAGGGGCAAAGGGGTCCTTGTAGGATTTGGTTCATGGTTTAGGGTTAAGGGTTAAGCCAATCCCAAAAACAAGGCTTCGGGGATCACCAATCCCAAAAACAAGGCTTCGGGGATCACCAATCCCACCCATAACGGGTTGCCAATCCCACAAAGCAGGTTTTCGGGGATCGCCAATCCCACCCATAGCAGGTTGCCAATCCCATCCGCAGGGGATTGCCAATCCCACACCCTAGGATTCCGACCCCAATACCACTCTAGAACCCCAATACTCCTATCTATCCAAGTGCCATAGCCCAAAACGGGAATGGTCTTCTCATATAATTTGGTTCAGGGTTTAGGGTTAAGGGTTGTATATTTGGTCATCCAATTTTCAGTCAGCGACAGTCCTTTGGTTGAACCCGACCATGACGTCAACGCCGACCACAACAAACACAACGAGGACCGGCTATGAGTTTGCAGTAAGGGTTGGTTTGAATGCGCCGGCAGTGGAAGCACGAGCAATCCCACGACTGTTCATTTTTTTGCATTTGTCCATCAAAGGTTGTCGCATTTGTATAACACAGTGGCGGAGTCATCAGATACACTTGGTGTAGGTGTGTTCTAGAAAGATCCAGCAGGGAGACTAGTAGGCAAACTGGCAACACATACCGGCAACACACACACACACACACGAATGACCGTTTTGTTGTGAAGCGCAGTGCCAGCATGGCTCGCTTGCCAGCCATGCTCGCCATATTCGCCTTGATGACCCGTTGTGGTTTGAATGTTCCGCTGTTCACAGTGGTGCGGCACGCGAGGCTAACACCCAGCCAGGAGGCCCGAAACATGGTTGGGCAGGGTGCGTCGCTGGATGCCATCCTTGAAGTCACCGACTACGTTGCGCACATGCGGGAGGAACAGGCGCTGGCAAAGGTGCGGGAGGAACAGGCAAAGGTGCGGGAGGAACAGGCAAAGGTGCGGGAGGAACAGGCGCTGGCAAAGGCGCGGGAGTTCAGCATAAATTGTTCTGCGCTTCAAGCGCCGACTCTCTCGCTGCAAGATGAGCTGCTCCATGGTCAGAAAGGAGTATCAACCTTTCATTAGCGGCTAGCGTTGCTTCCGGCGTTGGCAAAGCCATCATAATTTCCATGTGCCGGGTGCAGATTTTCTGCTGTAACCAAGGTTGACTGTCAAGATGCGCACAGCTGCAGTGTTGTGTAACCGCTTCTTGGTCGAGAGCGGCCTCCTCCACAGAGATCCAGGAAATACTCTCTCGGGTGCATACGAGAAGCTCAAGAAAAAGCTCGTGGCTGGCACGGGATTGACAAAACAAGGAAGAGCTTTGTTCACGAATATCACTCGACAGTCAGGGATGAATGCCAAGCCGAGGGACGTGGTTAATGACCTCAAAGTTCTCATTCATCAGCTATCAACAGCCGCCAGCTTAGTTGACTGCGAAAATAGCTTGCCAGTACCAGCGTCGCTTTGAACATCAGCCCAAGTAAACATGTGCTATCAGGTCATCCACTACCCAAAGCTTGTCAGCCGCGGCTTCGTGTGCGGAGGACACCCACCTCTGGGCATCGCTGTTGCGATGGCAGTGTGCGACTTGCAGGTGTGGGTAAACTCAAAACTTTAACGCTGAATCTCTGGCTTGTTGGTGTCTTCTGCACCCTGAGGCAGATGGACACGTCCCCCACACAGTCGTGGTCATAGATGGTGATGACAACCCGGTTGCGACGATGACAGGAGGGTTCGTTGGTCCGCCGCCGCAGCACTGATTTGCAGCATTCTCCTAAGACTTCCGAGTTGCAGCGATCTCAAGTGAGTAGCTGCGTAGATTTGGCATGAGTTGCACACCCCGGTGCGAAACACAATGCCAGAACTTGCTGTAGGACATGCGATCCACTAAACAGGGTCTCAGGGATCACCAATCCCACTAAACAGGGTCTCGGGGATCACCAATCCCATTCAACAGGGCTTGGGGGATCACCAATCCCAAAAACAAGGCTTTGCCCCTTTTGAGTAATAATGCCACCTTAGAGATAATGGATGGGGTAATGGTTATTCCTATACTTGTGTTGATAATGGTGTAGTAGTAGTGATACATCGGTGAAGTGTAGGGGGACCCTAGGAATGATCATCTAATGGGTTGACGGTGGCATTATTACCCAAAAGGGGCAAGGGGGTCCCTAACTTATTTAGGGTACTATATCCCTATTTGCGGAAACTCCCATATACAAGCTTCTCGCTTGCTCCGACATGAAGATACCCCAAAGCCGATTCGGAGCACTTAGGCTATTGGGGCCCTCTATCGCTCCCGACCGGGTTTCGAGTTTAGCCTTGGCCTTCGGAGTTCCAGAAAGTCCCGAAGCCGAAGCTCCCAAGCCATGAGCCTCAGCCCTAAACCAAGAAAGCCAGAGCCCCCTAAGCCTTAAGCCCTAAACCCTAAACCCTAAACCCCTAAACCCCATACTCCACCCTAAGCCCTAAGCCCTGAACCCTAAATCCCACAACCCCAAACCTGAAACCCCGAAACCCCCAAAGCCCCAAACCTCAAACCCTACAGAGAAGATCACTCCAGAGGCGTAAGTCACCCGAGAGCTCCCCGAGCTGCGGACCGTCAAACCGAAGGATGATGTCAGCAAACAAGCTTCCAAAGGCACCCTCAACCCCTAAGCCCTAAACCCTAAGCTGGAAGGCCCTTAACCCTAAACCCCAGACCCTCAGGCTCTAAACCCTAAACCTTAAGCTTTGGGCCCTAAGCCCTAAATCCTTTCACCCCAAACCTCTAAACCCTAAACCCTAAACCCGAAGCCACCATAAGCTCCTCAAGGCCTCTGACAAGCTCTTGACGTCTTTAAGCGGGTTTTGGGTTTGGGGTCTTCGGCTCTTGGGTTAGTAGGGCACTAGGCTTTTGGGGTATAGGGGTGTTAGGGTATCAGGGTTTAGGGTTAGCGATAGAGTATGGGAGTATTGGGTGCAGGGTTTAGGGTTCCAACACTACAGCCCTAGCATTCACCAGCCGCTGCAACCCATACTGCCGCCAAGTCCGTCTCGGCCGGCGTCGAGGTTTGCCACGTGTTGTAGGGTGATACAAGGGTTGAAGATTCCAGTTTCCGTTAAGCTTTTCATGCGCGTGGTTGGCTTCCGGGCTGATGAATGAGTCTTAAATGTGGTTTGGGTGTCTGCTGGGGTCAGAGAAGCCGACAGGTGAGTTCAAGCATCCAGGATTTGGGGCGGGGTGCCTTGTGTTGCCTTCTTGCGCTCGGGTGGTGCACATTCGGCTTGTCTGTGCGTCCACCGCCTTCGTTTCTATACCTCTGCATACATACAAACCAGCATCCAAAGTTCGCATGGAACAGATGTGCTTCCATCCTAGACCCTAAGCCATGACTGCACCGATATCTGAAGAACGTCACCCTTTGAGCTCCGTTGCTGTGCACATCTTTCCTTGCTTCTCTTGCTTCTGTAGTCGCAATACCTGCTGCATTTCACATAGTTAGCATGATGACGAGACTGGCCTCTTGACTGCTTTCCTTCGGGAAGGTGCCTGTCGGAACGGACAAGAATAGCACACCCGCAGCCGCGCAGCCGTGCGCGATCGTGCCCTTTGCAACCTGATCAGGAGTCGGACCTTCCAAAGGTGGAGATCTGGGATCCCAGCGAGGACAAAGGTGCGGCTCTTGCTTGCAAGCTCCGAGGCGACATCTTCACTTCATGGCATCTATGATGGCTCTGAGGGATCTACAAGGGGCTCCTTTAAGAGATCTGTTATGGGCTCCTCTAAGCCATCCTAAGAACTCCTCTTCCGCAGGTTCCACCACCAAGGCCGCGCAAAAAAGCTCCGGACACCCTGTCACAGGGCGCCTTGACGAGCAGAGGCTCAGGAGAGTCACTTCGGGGCCTCAACTTTAGCTGGCAACCCTAATTTTGCCGGGTTTAGGGATGTTTAGGGTTTCAGGTTTAGGGTGAGAAGGTTGAAAGTGGGGTCTCAGCTAGAGGTTCGGGCGATTGAGTGCACGTCTACATGTGGTGTCCTGTTGAATGTAGCTAGCAAGCAACCCGGCTGCGTGCACAGAAGTGATTTGACCTCAAAGCACTGAGAACCCTAACTTAACCGTAATACTTAGAGTAATCTTGGTTGAGCCCCTATGGTGTTCCCTGAAAATCAAGCGAGTGCCGCGGCAATCTTCGGGGACTTCGAGTTTTGGTTTCTCCATGTATTTGCTGGTGCTTTGGTGCATGCCGAATACCTTTGGGTTCATCTGAACCCTCGTTGTGTTGATGTTTTTTTCTTGCTTCACTCTACACTGATAACTACTAGTACAACTTTGGTCTATTATCTTGGATGGGGTCAGCCAGTGCGTCGTCTTTGTCTGCTGGCTTACTATCTCTGCTCGTGACGTTGTCCTCTTTGAGCCCTGAAAACTCCGATCTCCTGACTTACGTTAAGCCCTGGACCCTCCGTTTAGCGTTCTTGGCTTTCAACCTGTGTTGGGTGGAGACCAGCTTCTGAGGTTGATGAAACTATGGGGCTATGATACAGAACCGGTAATCGTCGGAGAGCATTCCTAGGCAGCCGGATCCCTGGTAAAGCCAGTCATGGGTACCTGACTTGAGGTCCTCCGAATTAGGATCCGCGTCGGTTCTATGTCGGAGTTCCTTCTCTAAAACTCCCGCATTCCCGTTCTAACTATACCGTGCGTTCTGCATGGTCTCCTAAGCTCTAAGACCTAAAGCGGTAAGCCCTAAACCGCCCAGTTCCGCTAAGTTCTAATAACACATCGAGGCATCAAGCCGTGGTTTTGTTGAGCCTGGCCATCGTCGCTGTGATTGGCGTGCTGCTGATGTTCCCGGAGCTGTCCGGGCACACAGTGTTTCGGGTTCGGTCTTCGGTGTGGGGGTCCAGGGCTGATGAAGGGGGACTTGCGTAGCGGCGTAGTGCGCTGCGATTCTGCGTTGACTGGAGCACGGTCCTAGATGGCCGTGGAGCACGATCCAAAGCACGCCGTAAAGTCGTGAAGTGCTGCAGCGGTGGCATCAGGCATCAGCAAAGTCTATCTTCAGGGTGTCGAAGGTGGTGCAGCAGCACGCCATCTAGGTCACGAGTGTCAAAAACGCAGATGAGTTTTTGACATGGTCGGATGCCCCGAGCAAAGAGACAGCATACAGCTTGTGCGAGTGATGAGAAGGCTCGAATAACGGCTTTGAGGCTTGGACGTATGCTATACGATAGCGCTCGAAACTTGAAACAGATAATTCGGAAGGCAGCAAGACAAGAAACTGTTCAGACAGGTCTGGCCACAGCTGTGGCGGAACTTCCAGCTCATTTTGGCTCATGGGTTCGCTTCAGCTAGGGTTCGTCGGTTCGAGTCTCAGAAACCCACATCGGCTGGTGGTTCGTGCACAGCGGCCTTGCAACGGGTGGAGTACGGAAGTGTTGCTTCATGCACCGGGTTTCTCAAAGAGACCGGAACTTCAGGTTTAGGGCTTCAGCGCTGCACGGATTCAGGCGTCGGGGGAAATCCAGCCGGCCACGCCGCACACCAGCCTATGGCCCAGAGTCAGAAGCATGGAGAGCTGCTTGGTGATAAATCATGGTCATCCTATGTCATCCTCACCACCATCGCCATGACGACAGTCACCATATCACCAGCAACAACATCCTCATCATCAACGTCATCATCGCAGTCATCGTTATCTTCCTCAAAAGAAGAAAAGGGCCCATGTGTTCTATCAGAATGACTCATACATACCAATCGACGCGCTTGATCCCGCTCAGCTGCCGGCCCCAGCAAGAAGATTCTTGTACCTTTGCTAGGCTAGAACTGAGCTCATGGGCGGCAAAGGAAAAGGACGTGGCAAGGGCCGCGGCTCCTCAGCTTTCACTCGCAGCCTTGATATTCCACCACAAGCCGTGGGATTGGTCATCGGTCCTGGCGGTCAAAGCATCAAGGAACTCCAGGCCCCGTTGGGGTGCACAGTCTTCGCATCGACAATTAAGGAGCATGTGCAACACCTCTTGTGCTCTGATGCAAAGCCAGTCTATGCATGAAGAGGCTTACGAAGTTTGTTTTCGCCCTGACAGAGTTTGGCACCCAACAGTGTGCATGGTTTGTGTGATCCTTGGGATGCCAACTGATCTTAACTTAGCGCAGCTCACTCCGTTTCGGGTTCAGGGTTCTGGGTTGCCATCAGCCAAGCTGGTCTCCGATTGGAAAGTGCGGCTTGAACTCACTGGTTTTTGTTATCTTGTTGCTTTGAGGAATCAGAACTTGGATTCAGTTTTCTCTCCAGGCAATGGGGGATATTGACTACGTGTCGGTGATTGACGGAGAAGTCCTCATTGGTGGACGATTGCCGGAAGCCGTTGACAAGGCCTGCCTGGTGCTAGTGTCCCATTGTGAAACGAGATCTAAATCGATCTATCATGAATATCCGAATAGCTTCAGTAACTTATAGATGCCCCCAGCTCAACAAGCTTAGAGCCCTACACCTCCGTTTTGAAGTTTGAAGCCTTCAAACCTTTCGGCCCCAAGTGAGGAGTTGATCCCTAAACCGTAAACCCTAAACCCTAAACCCTAAGGTCAAGGACCACATCCAGGCCTTGGTCCACCGATCGCAGGTCAAGCTCAGGTCGGGCACATGAAGAAAAAATCGGACATCTGAGCTAGGCTACTGGGCTTTTCGAGGGTTTCGGGTTTTGGGTTTAAGGATTTAGGGTTTAGGGTTTAGGGTTTAGGGTTTAGGGTTTAGGGTTTAGTGTGTAGGGATAGGAAGGTTTTATTTCGCTACCCATGGAGGAGGGCAAAGAAGATAGGGGCCGGAACAATTGCCTAGATTATTCGCGGTTATTCTTCAGGGTTCCTTGCTATATGTAAACGATGGTATACCACCCTTCCGGGCTAAAGGTCCAGGACTATTTCCCCATTCCAGCCCCTGTAGGAGAGGGAAGGTGCAGACATACATGGATGCGGACACAGAATCGGTGTATTTTTCGGCTTTGCATCCTCCAAAGATGCTCGCCAACTTCGAACCTTACCTTGTTCCAGGAAGGAAGTTCATGCTTCTGAGCCGGGCCAGTGACGACCTATCGGCGACCTAGCATACGTGCAAGTGCAGCTTTCTGTTGGTGAGGGGATGGGTTTTCACTTTCGCTCGGGTCTTGGCGGGGAACCAAGGCTGCACTTGCAGGTCTCCGCGTCTCTCCCCAGAACATGCCCGAGACCGTGGTCAAGAAATGGAGCATGGAACTCTTGGCCGAATCGTTCCATGAACTTCTTCTGCACAGCAGAGAGCCACTCAAGGTTGAGATACGTTTGGGCGTTCTGGCCTTTCACAGTCTGAGTCATGACGCTCCTGGGCTGTACCTGTTCTGAAGCTTTTTTTCGCTAATATGACATATACCGGTTAGAGAGACGCGGTTTCACAAGAGTCATAGACTATAACAACGAGCAAGTCCTCTTCGATTTCCTGTATTACTGCCGTGATAGTTCAGGGTACTTGCGCACTTGCACGAAGTTTCCCAGAAACATTTTGAGGCCAGTAATACCGCGTCCTTCGCCGACTTTTTGGGCTTCCGTCCGGGCAAGGCGTGCACGTGCATAAGATGACATGTGTGTAGTTCTAAAGGGACCCCAATTTAGAAAACTACCCACATGTGGATTCATGTTTCAAGCGTTTGGATGCCGGGTCTTTATTTTGTATCTTGTTTTTGGTGGGACAGTCTCTCCCGTTCTCATTGGGGCTTCCTGGAGCACGGTAACAGCAGAGTAGCAAGAATGGGTTCTTGCAAAGCTTGGACGCATCTTGGGCGTCTTGCTCGATCTTGCAGATCTGCTTTCAAGGGAGTTTGGCTTCTGCATGACCAGGATTACAAGACGCAGTTCTGCCCGCAACTCAAGAAAACCAACCTCGAGAGCGTGCTTCTTCAAGAAGGCTACGAGTTCTGTGAAGCTAGCACATGCACCAAGGCAGGTCGCCTCAAGTCAAGCACCAGATTTTCAGGGTCGCAAAAGGGATTCAAGGAGATTTTACTGCGCTCGGTTTTGAAGTGCTAAGGTGGGCCTGGTCGACGCAGAAGGCAAGACCAAAAGCAAGGTGACCTTCGTGGACGTAGATAGTGGCATAGACCCACGCCACGCAGAAGAGAAACGGAAGGAGTTGGAGCGCATCCGCAGGTGCAAAACTCCTGCGGAAGTTTTGGGTCTGCCGCCAGGCTGGGTTCCACCACATAGAACACAATCCGTAAACACCCCGCGACTGCAACTTGCCTTTGGACAATTCGTGATTCGCCCAAGTTTTATCAGGAGCAGCAACGATTGAGGCGAAGAAGGCCTTTTTCAAAAAGTCGCTGCTCGCACATCCTGACAAGAATGTCTTAAAGGTTTCTGCAGCCTCCACAGCACATTTTTCTATTCTTAATAGATCAAGAGTGGTATTCTTGACTAGTTCTGACGTCGCTATAGGTTCTGGTTGCAGCCAGGGAGGCTGCGGAGAAAGGCCGTGCCAATCAACCCTTTGAGATCTCAAACTTTGAGATCGGAGAGCCGCCCATGGAGCTTCCTCAAATGCTCAGCTTCACCCAGAAGAACTCGCTCTTTCAGGGGGATGTCGGGAAGTTGGATGGAGAACTGGGCTTCCGAACTGACGTTTTCGCGGAGCTTCCTGTGGATGACCCGAAGGCAGCAGCCTTCTTGGAGTCAGCTTGGAAGTCAGGAGCTATCAGGGAAGGTGGGCAGTTACGGTCCAACAGAGTCTACAGCATTGAATCCGTGCGGATGAAGACACAAAAGCTCTTCACGAATGGCCCCACACGCGTGTCACTTGAGGAGGTCAAGCAAAAGTCAATCGAGACCTGCGGTGACTTCGGAACCTATCCAGAGATCACCTTGTCATCAGCTTTGCTTGATGAGCTTATGCCAAGGGTACAGGATGCGCAAAGCACCGAGGATGCCCTGCAGTCCTTTCAGGAGCTTGTCTCCAGCGCAGTTGCACTCTGCAAGAGGCTCAACACTCGCTGCTGATGTACCTCAGGGTCCAATAATGTGACGTCATACCATCATATCCCACACAGCAAGATGCAATAGCGGAATTCAGAAATCGCAGCCAGAGAGGTCCCCATCATCATGAAACTAAGACTGAGCCAGTATCCACGCCTCCGACAGTTGTAGGGACAAGCGTCCTGGAGCTTCAGGAGTCTGCAGCTGTGCTGCCTAGGAGTCGGAAACGCTAGCAACATTATGCCGGAGTTCCACTACTCATGGCTTGAACCTCCAGTCGGCTCAGCCATAGTTGTGATTCCGTGCTGTACAACTACATGATCGATTGTAGGAGGGGGGCTGAGTAAGATCATTGTCGCATGAACACCGTAGTTGTCACAGCAGGCGTTCATAAGACCATGGTGAAGACTATAGGGCTCACAGCCTCCACCTGCAATGGTTGATCGTCCAGCAAACAGGTCGTTTAGAGACGTGATGAGTCTTTCAAACGCTCTGTCTGGCCGTTCTTTGGCAGGCTCAGACATGGACTTCTGGCCAAGGATGTACAGGACATGCAACAGGTCATGTAGCCGGCATGTGGAGAAGACAGTAGGCACGAACATCATGATAGAAAGCCTTGGCAAAATGCAGCGCCCTGCTAAGTCACACTGTGGCTGCGGCTACGCCTTAGTTGTCGGTATTTTCGTTTTTCCTCGTCACCTTCTTGCTCCTCTTGTTTTCCTGGCAATTCGCACGGCAGTACTGTTGTGAGTCTAAGGAGGTCTGGTCCAAATTTTGTCCACGGAGCGAAGGGGTTTAGGGGTAAGTCCGGCGATTTCGGTTCAGGGCTGGCGGTGCTACACCTAGAGTCTAGATTGCATATGGGTGGTTGTCAAAATTAGGGTCCCTTTTGGGGTCCTTACTATTATACGGCACCTATTATTTAGGGTACCCCAAAAGGGGACCCTAATTTTGACAGCTACCCATATGGGAGACCTTCAACTTCTGTACCTTCCGCAGGCCTCCAGGCCACCACAGCTTGAGGTTTCTGGGCATGACAGTGTATTGTTCAGGCGACGGCATCGTGTAGAGGTTAGAGTCTCAGCCAAAGCTCGTCGTGCGACCTAAAAACCTCGGCGGGGTTTCTCAGGGGTTTGGGTCCCGGGCCTCGAGGTTTAGGGGCCAGAGCCTTTAAGCCCTAAACCCTCATATCGAGTACTTGAAAAACAACGCTTATAGTACCCTAAATCCCTCAAGCCCGAAAGTACCCGCAGAGGAAGGAACCCTTTACGGAACCCTGGGTTCCCAAGCCCTCTGAGCCCTAGGCCCTAAACTCTAAAAGCCCAGGTGCCGGCGTTTCGCCACGGCGTCCCAGAGGAGGAGATCTCTCTCGTCTCAGTGGCTCGGCTGTTTGGTCTTGGGTTTTGGGGTTTAGGGTTTCAGGTTTCGGGGTTATGGTTGGTTCCTTTGAGGGTAGTATAAGGGTGTAGGGTTCCAGTGTTTGGGGGTTCAGGGTTTGGGGCTAACTTGGTCTTTCTGAAACGACGGGGAAGGCAAAGCACACAGCTTGAGGATTTTAGGGCTAGTTTAGGGTTAGGGTGTAGATTTAAAGCTCGAACGCAGCCATTTTCAGGCACCCAAAGGGATAATATTACTACCCTGAACCCCTAAACCCCTAAACCCCTAAACCCTAAGCCCTAAACTTCTTCGTAGCTTTCAGAAAATTTCAGCTCATGGGTCTTCTCCGAGGCACAAGGCGGCTACTCCCGCGATGAGGATGACATCTTGTGAGAAAAGAAGGCAGTTTCTCAGGCTTCAGAGTTTAGGGCGTTTGGAAGTTAGTGGGTTTTGGGGCTTTAGGGTTTAGGGTTTAGGGGGGTTTGGGGGTTTAGGGTTTAGGGGGTTTTGGGGGATTAGGAAATTATGAGATTTACCGGGTTTAAGATTGTTCAGGGAGCCATATGAGAAGTCGAGCAAAGTTGGACGAGGACTCCGGAAGCACAAGTGTGTAGGCTTGCTTGCGGTACTGACATGTACTGAATCAAGACCATGAACCAGTGTAGGATGCTAGACCTTAAACCCCCACCCCTAACCCTTCGCCGCCAACCCTAGACCCTGTTTCACATGGGAGTTTCCGAAAATAAGGGGTACCTTATTTGGGGGTCCTTATAATAAGGATCCTACTATTTAGGGTACTATATTAGGGTTCCCTATTTTTGGAAACCCCCACATTGCCGAAGGAGCAAAGCTGTGCCTTCTGAGCTAAGTTACCTTCGGAAGGCTCAGGGCAGGAGCAAATTTCAGGAGCCTTTTTAATTGGACGAGGGTTCTTCTAAACTAGACGACTGCTACAAGGGTTCTATAGTAGTAGTCAGAGGCCTTATTGAGTGGAATGGGGTTGCCCGAGTACAACAACCCAAGGGGATACATAATTAGTCTTACTTACAACTTGTTCAGTCCTTCATGGTAGTGAGGAGATAGCTTCGGTTCTGCCCTTGACACAGAGCGCTTGCTGCAACTGTCAACTCGAGCTCTGTGTTCAAGACCTTTGCTAGTTGCGCTGCCAAGCACCGAAGAGTCCACTAGTCTGTCGCCCGTCACCACGATGTCTTGGGCGTTCCATCAAAAGCCTTACTAGCACCAGTCCCCCACAGGAAACCTACATCTTGGAGATGTTCGTATGTTCCTCCACTGTCCACTCCATCCCCGAAAGCAGTCCCTTAAGAACAATGCTTCATATAGCCAGGGCCTAGAGTCAAGAGCCTAGACCCCTAAACCCTAAACCCTGAACCCTGAACCCTAAACCCTAAACCCTAAACCCTGAACCCTAAACCCTGAACCGAGACCTTCGGTGTTTGAGTCATGGCCACCCGGCGCTTTGGCTACCGGCACCTGGCGGGCGGAGTCGGGGGAGCAGGGATCCTGGCTCTCTACGCCTGGCGCAGGACTGGGTTTGGGGTTTAAGGGTTTTGGGGGTTTCAGGATTCGGGGCTTTGAGGCTTCGGGTTTAGGTTTTAGAGAGTGTTTCAGTCCTTTTGGTGCTACTGCCTTTGAAAAAAGTGAAAGGATCGATGTGTCGTGACACTGTATGAGTGAACTCCTCGCAGTCGGCACCCATCGCTGCCTTCGAGGGAACCCTCATCAGCAGCCTCCACATCCTGAATCGCCTTGCCAATCGCAAGGAGCGCCAGTCGCTTGGCTCATGCCAAGGCCCTTTCACAGGACCCGGAAGTCATGGAAAGTTGATCAAAAAGACTGCGGTTCTGTCACTTGCCATAGCCTATGGCCTCAAGAGCCGTGACGATAGCATGGCCTGCAAGTCAGCCTGTACAAACTTCCAAAAGCATCCTCCGCGTCCCAAAAAATGCAAGACACACCAAGCTTGAAGCCCAAATCGCCAACTCAACACCGGCACCCCGAAACCCTCATCCCTGACACCGTATCTTCACTGCACATCCCGACCCAGAACTGGAACCAAAAGCACGAACCCGAAAAGGCCCCAAAGCCGCGAACCTTAGCCTGGCACCCCAAACGGAAAACAGCCTCATCCCCAAACCCTAAACCCCAAGCCCTAAAACTAAAACCCCAAGCCCTAAATCCCAAACCCTGAACCCGAGCCCTAAACCCCAAAACCCTTAAGTCCTAAAACCCCAAACTCCCAGGAGGTGAGTCTCCAGGGCCGTTCCGCTCTGGTCATCGGCGGTACGTCCGGCATCGGGGCTTTTCTTTAGGAACCTTCGTATAAGTCACCAGCATTTTAGGTTTCCTTTTTTAAGGGCTCTATAAGGGATTATAGGCTAAGGAAATTTAAGCTACCATACTCCGGACCTGTGGTAAGTAATGTGGTTTCCTTATTGTTGCATCTAAAACTAAATTGCTTACCCCTAAACCCTTGAAGCCCCTAAACGATGGTAACTCAAAGTAAGCTCCTTGACCCTCTTCAGCGTCAGCAACTTTACTTGAGTTCCTGAACCCCAAACCCTTATGAAATCCTTAGAGGAATTTGAAGTTATGGTACTCCCTAAACCCTAAACCCTAAACTTAAATTAAGCTACTTAGCAAGAACCCCAGGCGTTGGGCACGGCCTCGCGAAGCGCCTCGCGCTCTCGGGATGCTCTGTGACCGTGGCATCTCGGATTGATCGACACTATCTATCTATCTATCTATCTATCTATCTATCTATCTATCTATCTATCTATCTCTCTATACATACATACATACATACATACATACATACGTACGTACTCATTTCGCTCATTGGGGGCATTGAGTCCGTAGTGCGGGCACAGTCCATGTTGGGTGCACTTGATTAACTTGGGCAGGTGCCGCAGAAATCCACAGACATAGTATGCGCTCACCTAGCAGGGGTGGGACATAACGAGCAGTCGGAAAAGCTGTCCCACTCACATAAGAAAGCCAAACATGAAGGCACATCGACACTGCATGAGAATGCTCGGCAAACAAAGAATGCTTGATATTGCGTAGTCGGCTCTCAAAGCACCAGAGGAACAACAGTCCAAATATTGGACCTAGAACGTGCAGGATCTTCCTCGTGGGTATTAAATGCGGCTATCCCTACACAGTTAACATACCCAGGATGTCAGAACACCTTCATCGAGGTGACATCGGGGACATCACATCAACGGCGTTGAAAATCTACAACAATGCTCACTTAACAGCAGTATGAAAGCCAAGGCCGCTGGACCTCCACACTCAAAGACAAATCGCGCTTGCATCAGTCACTTGCTCAGGAACTGCAAAGTCAGGATACCGGAGTCAGGGTCATAAGGTCCAACACCTCGTCGTCCGCGCGTAGCCCTTTCCGTAGGACTTGCAGTGTTGCCAGCTTCCAGATTGATGATCCAGATGCCATCGCCTGACGAGCCACTACTCTGTTTGATGACTCGCACCTGCAAGGCTAGCGTCTTCTTGAAGCGAGTAGAATGCGAGCGTGTCCTCCACACCAATGTTCAAAATGGCCACCTTGCACAGCGTGTCCTTCGAGCCCATGAACTACATCACATCGGGGGAAGTGCTTTAGTTGCTTTCCGTTTGATGATCCAGATGCCCTCCCGTGACGAGACCTTGTTCTACTTGGTGACGCACATCTGGCATACCAGCAACTTGAAGAAGCCAGCCGCAAACGCCGCTACGGTGCAGGATGCGAGCATGCCTTTCACACCAATGCTCCACCTGGCCACCTGACGACGCGCAGCTGCAAAGCCAGCGTCTTCTTGAAAGCCAGCCACAAAATCCTTGTAGTATGCGAGTGTGTCCTCCAAACCAATGCTCAACATGGCCACCTTGCACAAAGTGTCCTCCGTAACCGTAGCCGGCAGACGCACCCATGGCGGGTGCTGGGGCGCTACAATGTTCCACGCTGCGCGGCAGTTTGGGCCCTCATACACACATACATACAGACATGCA